CTAACTTCTCCGTCTCCTGCTGGATCCAGGCGTTCAGTTCCTGCGCTAAATGGGCCTCACCCCTTGCGGCCGGTTGCTTCCCACTGCACAGGTATATCCTGCTTAAAACTGGGGCCTAAAAGCCATTAAAGGCCTATATCCTGCGTATGCATAGCTTTGCATATATGTTATTATAATTTATTATATGTCCATGATTCCAATGATCAGTGGGTCTTTTTTGCGCATATAATTGCAATAAGAAATCCGGATATTCCTCCTCCAAGTCGCCCCATGGCATCCCATGGCGCCCCGCCTCTTGGAACTTCGTCACGTGCCCCTCCAGCGCCGCCAAGTCCATGACGCCCGGGCGCGGCGACCGCGAACGCGAGGCGCGGCCATCGCGGCCATCGCGGCCATCGGAGGCATCACGGGCGGTGTTTTTGAGGGTGATGACGATGGGCTTAGCCATGGCTGAGCCATGGGCTGAGCCAAGGTTGATGCATTTTCTCTTTGGAAAAGAAAGGGAGGAAACTTGAAAACAGGAGAGACTTGTGTGACTTGAACTGATTTGAGATCACTTGATCTTACTTGCCCTGGAGTAATCAGATATGGGCAATCAAAAACCCGCCATTTCCCCTGCCTTCACCTCTTCAAGGTCAGGCTCATCGGCATCGATACCCAGCGCCTGTCGTGGTGCCCCATGGCTACCAAGGTGGTCAAAGCTTCTCAGGCTGAGTTGAGTGCAGCTGATGGGGATTTGGATTCCCGGTGTTAGAGGAGGAACATGTGCACACACACACATATATATATATACATATGTGTGTGTGTTCATTTATCCATTTATTTATTGATTGATTTTTATATAGAGAGAGAGAGGGAGTAAGGTTTTGGCTCAGTTTCCCCCCGCCGTTCAGTTTGAGGGTTACCCTGCCATCGCCTTAGTGGGAGACTGGTGGACCTCCCACGGGTACAGGCGCTTCTGAGCCGTGCCCTCAGGTTTAGGGTTATCCTTAAAACCCTTGCTCTACGATTTTTCATTGGCTGGTGCTTGCATTTCACTTTTTACTGGGAGTTGAGTTGCTCCTCACTGGTATTGTGTATTTACTTGGATCTCCGTGTGCCACTGACAATTTTGTGATTTCACTTTGTTTTGCACTTAACTGCAGAGCACTGGTGCAACAACATACAGGCTTTCAGGTGTGCCGGACACTTGACGGGTTACAAATTTTAGCAATCGCAGTTGATTTTCCTGGATTACAATTTTTGCTATAACCCACGGTTTCTGCAGGTGTACCTAACACCTGGGTTGTACCGAGAACAAGGTTGGCTTCATCATTTTTGGCACTGAACTGGATTTGCCCTGGTGCCACAATTTTGCTTGATCCTTCATTTATGTGTTCTTTCCTGCTACTTTTCCTCATTGTGATTGTGGGATTTGATTTTCTGCAAAATTCCATCGCTGAGTTCCACCCGGAAACGGCGTTTGCGCCGTCAGAGAGCACTTGCACGGCATACGTGGCATCTGCATTGCAAGCGGGTAGTTGTTCTCAACCCGTGGGAGCTTTCGCGTCTCCACAAGATCTTTGCGGGACATCATTCAAGGGACCCCACCTTTTTGAGGAGGATACGTTCCGAAATCAAGAGACAGAGCAAAATCATGGATCAAGATCTTTTTCCGTGGCGCTGCATTCATTGTCAGCGCATCAACAAAAAAGTCGCCGAACATTGTGCGGTGTGCAAGGCTCACTGGTCGTCAGGAGTGCGCCACAGCACTGCGCCCAGAGCACAACAGGCGACGGCCTACAGAGATACATGGCTATCGACAGACCAACAATATGCCTGGGAAGACGACTGGAAGGCTTGGCAAGTACAACCAAGCCGATCTCAAAGTCGATCAAAGAGCCCACGCGTCAATCAGACCTCACAAAGCCCAAGGGGGCGCAAGAGCAAAGGCAAAGGGAAGGGGAAGCACAAGCACAAAGATGCCGGCTTGAATGTGCCAAGTACAGAGGCACAGCACAGTTCGAGCTACAGCTCCTCGCCATTTGCACCTCTGGCGACAACAATGCCTCAGAGGCCATCTATGGAAGGGATGGCACAGAATCTGATGCCAGCTACACCACCTGTAGCCAACTCCAACAACTTGGAGCTCTTAGCTCAGAAAAGGGAATGTGTGGCAGCGCTCCGAGTTGCTTACCCAGATGTCAGCTCAGCCCCTCAGGAGACCCAAGAGCTCATCGAGAAGATGGACAAGGACATCGAGCGCCTAGAAAAGGAGAACAGCAAATTTGTTACAAAGAACTTACATGCTGCAACTACAACCTTGGGCAAAGCACAGAAAACGCTGACGGAAGCTTTGGAATCAAAGAAGGTTCACCGCACGCGATGGATCAAACACATCACAGAAGCGGTCACCACTTGGCAAGCTCAGCTGCAGGAGTATCAGAAGCAGCAAGCAACGTTTCATGCTGCCGCTACCAAAGCAAGAGCGGACATCGAAACAGCCAGGAAAGAGATTCAAGCACTGTCAGTCAAAGCTTCCCAAGCTACACTGGCTGCCATGCCGCCGATTACGGCAGTGACAGCGGAACAAGAAGAGGGGACTACGGATGCGGACACCGAGGAAGAGAAGCTCCAAGGCCAACTCCAATCGGTGATGCAGCATTGTGCAGCAGTTCTGAATGCGGAGACTACGCTGGCAGTTTCCGATGCCGAAGCCGAAGATTTGCCCATGGGAGAGGACGAGCGAGACAAAAAACGCCCGCGCTCCATGCAGCCCTTTGGTGTGCCTGCCTCGGGTGGAGCACCCTTGGGTGCCAAGGGCACCTGATTGAAGGCGGTGCAATGCTAGTGCAGAGCCATGGCTTGCATGACGCCAGTCAGACAGCTGAAGTAGCTGATGCCTACGTATCACTGCCAATGATGCGTGCAGCATGCCATTATCAGCTGACCAATTTTGATTCCCAACAATTTTTGCATTGGCATCATTCGATTCAATCCGAAGTCAATTATCTCAATCCATTTGAGGCAGTTATGTCAGCATGGAAATTAGGATGGAGTGTTTTTTGTGATTCATTTCAAGGATTTGATGCAAGATCTCCGACTGATTTCGATGTCAAATGTGGGACAGGACCATCAGACCAAGAAGTCTGCAAGGACACATGTCTTATAGGTGCTCCTTCATTGCGTAGTTGCATCCGGAAGTCACGTGATCCTTCCATTTTGCCAGCCAAACGAGTCCAATTCCACTGTGAAGCATCCATCCACATTGGATTGGATGATGAACTATGCATGTGCTGCACCAGCATGAACACATTTGATTTAGCCAACTGGACCGAAAAACCATGGACCAGGAAGCCGATGAGAGGTTGTTCTGCCAGTGACATTGCACGTCCGGAGCGACGACAAAAACCATTGGAAAGACATCCTGAGGTCAGCAAAGTGCGGCTGACAGATGACTTCCACAATGTCCCAAGACGTGTTGCGGCAGCCAGTGCAGTACCACCAAATGCCCCGCCAAATCAGGTTCATCTTCCGCCGCCACCAGCGTTTGTGACTGATATTTTTGGGCTTCCAGGTTTTTTGGCCTTGCCGCATGACTTCTTGATGGATAACACATTTCTTATCCGAACATGGTATGTGCACCACTTTCATTTCCCACGTTGGGCTGTACCCAGATTTGTTGAACTGGATCACCGATGGGTGCTTTGGCAACGTGAAATTGCCACATCATGGCGAGACATGATCCAACCAAATGAAGAGGTGCAGTTTTTCACGGTTTTACCGGATCCAGATCGCAGTTTCCTGCAAAGGCAAGTTATTGCTGATGTTCTTGTCGTGCAAGGAGCTGAGGCAGACCGGTACGCCGGACTACTCACAGTCCACCATTTTGACAGGCAGGGATCCTTGCGACCTTTTGCACTTGCAATTTCCTTGCCAGACGAAGTTAGCGGCGTTGGACTTGCGGCAGCGGCTGACATTTCACACCTGTGCAACATAAACAGATGTAACTTCTACTTTGGTTGGCAACAGGTCCCCTACTCCCTTGTACCATCGCATTATATGTTAGATGGACATGGCTTTGTTGGGCACATCACACCTATCGTCAACCAACAGACCAGCAGATCCGCTCATTCTCAGTCAAGCCATACCGGCCAACGTGCCTCACATGGCCAACGGAGTGAAGCTAGTACTGAGCCAGCCGCTGACCCTGAACGAAGACCCAGTCGTACTGGGGAGGAGGACTTTGATCTCAGTGAGGATGCTGATCGTCTCACTGACACTTCATTGCCTGATTCAGTCACCCAGTTTGAACAATGGCAAGGGGTCCAAGTGTATAGACTAGGACGTCCTGTTGTGCACTGTTTCATCAGGTGGGGTACTTATAATGCCATCCTGCGTGAGATTGCTCATTTCCTTGGAGAACACTTGCGTAATTTGATTGGTATTCATCATGTCCAATGTGCCTTAGCGGGACAGCATGACGCTGAGGAGTCGATCATCTTACAGTATGTTTCCGATGTGCCGCTCGGATCCACTGAACAGCTGATCATTTTGGATATTGAAATCCATTTCCCAGGACAACCCGCAGGTTTGTTGCGTGCACCTGAAGTCACTAGGAGAGTCCACAGAGTTGTGCCACAGATCACACGTGCATATGTCCTGAGAATTGCAAGGCTGTTTAATTACTGTTTCTTGCAAGGGGATAGATGTCTGGTTTTTTGGGATCTCCAATTGTGGCCTGAGCAAGATACCCGTGTGCGAACCATACAACATGGTACATACCTGAGGGTTATCGCCACACCGCCCCTTGACCCATCGGTTTCCACTGAAGCAGCTTTGAATTTTGCGATTTCTGTGGATGATGGGGAACTTGAAGCTACACGTGATTGCACAGCACAACCGAGACATGATAGGGCGCTTGCTTTGACTCAGACCATGGCATCATTTCAAAGGACACCAGAGGACACCATAGGCCTGCGATCACTTGCACAGAGAGCGCTGCCTGCACAGGTGTATGAGACGTGTCTTCCCCAATGGAAACGTCAGCTCGCGCAGGTTTTCAATGAACATGGATTTGTTGAATGCACTGAAGAGGGCTTTGTTGCATATATCACGACATGGTTTGTTGATCATTTGCATAGGCCTAGATGCGCTGATAGTCGGCCAGTTCGGCTAAGGGGTGATGACTTTGAAGATTGGCTGGATCAGATCCTTGAGACTTGGGTTGATGTTGTTGACCAATTTTCACCAGTCGAAATCACATTTGTCACACCTACACCGCCAGCTACTGAAACTGAGACCATCTTAGCGCATCTTTTGCTGGAGCAACATCGACCTTCGATTACGCACTCTGCAGGTATCATTTCAGTCATCCGACATGGAAGAAGACATGCGGCCTTGAGACATGTTGCAATTTCACTGGGGAGATTCATTTCGGGAGATGCAATTCTGCGCCAAGTCCATCTGCAAGACCTTTGTGCGCTTCATAGATGTAGCATCTCCATTAAACGATTGATTCTGCGACCAGGGGATGTTGAGGATGTCGACTCAGGTTTCTGTATTGTTGTACAAGTTGCCGCCGTGACTAGTGAGGAGATGCCCAATTTTGCCAGCATGCAACAGCCGCTCTGGGCACCGGCAATGGCTGCTGCCATGGAAGCGCACCAACCACCTGCCAGTGATGATCGGGATGCATTGGATGACAATGTTTCATTCATTCAGGTTGGACAACGCAATTTTGATCATTCCTCTCAACAGATGCCTGTTTTGACATGCAAACCAAGTGAGATTGATGTTGATATGGGATTTCCCATCATTCGACCAACACCTGATCTGCCAAGACGGAGAAGGATGCCAAGGCATGACGGCCAAGAGGATTGGATCCTGCCCTTAGGGAACCTTTTTCACACACAAGGCACTCGAGGGGTTTGGGATGATGAAGTCCTGATGCATGTCACAACGTGGTACATCCACCATAACCAACGTCCCACATGTCGACGGCCACGAGTCATACAGTTGCATGGTAACCCTATCACATGGATTGATGACTTGCGAGCAGCATGGTCCGACACCATGGATCGACGGAGGCCATTCACTATCCGCATAGTGCAGCCGCGTCCACCACAGCATTTGGTCCAACCAAGCACCTGCCACATTTTGCTTGAACAGGGCAGTTTTGACCAGCAGGTGGCAGTTGTGTTCACTGCTTTGATGGAGGGTTCTGCCCATGATGCAATTGTACAAGGTGCTTATTCTGCACCGCCTCAGGTCAATCGTGATATTGTCCTGCAGCTTATGGACCTTACGATGTTGGGTATCCAACGTAGTTGTAGGTTGTTCCGTGATCGGCAGACCCTTGATGAGAATGCTATCGTTGTGCTAGCATCCGGCCACAGTCTTTGCATTCGCATTGAGGCACCGCATGAACCAACACAGCCAAGTGATCTTACTGACCTGCTGCATTTTGATGATTTGTCACTTATGCAAGCGCCACCGGCGCCCTTGCAACGTCCGACAGTTGATCAATCAGAAAGGCCTGCACAAGGATGTCTGTTCAATCCAAATGCGCCTGTCTTCCGCCCTGCAGAACCAAATCTTTGGCTCTTTCCGGAATATATACAGGAGTTGCATACGGCCTTTGCAAATGCTGCCTTTGCTTGGGAAGGAGAAGTTGCCACTACCCAAGTGTTGGTATGGTTTGTTGATCACCGCTTCCAGTTTCCTACGTGTATTTTTCCCCGTTCAGTTACATTGTCAGAGGATTTTACTGATTGGGAGCAGCGCATTAAATCCGCCTGGCAAGAGTACCTTCAACCAGAGCTCACACTTGAGATCGCTGTTGTAGCGCCAAGGCCTCCTCAGCTTGAACCAGGCACTGCAGCACATATCATTGTCGTGCAGGCCCCAAACGACGCCTGGGCAACATCACTTGTCTCCACAATTGATCTCAATGTTGGCCATCAACCAGTTCGCAGAGTTGTCACCACACCTGAAAGAACCACATTTGAGCATATTGTGCGAGCAGTGGGACAGGAAGGAACCTGCCTCTCATCTCAAGATAGGTCTCCATGCGCACTTTGGTATGACCTTCAAAGGATGCACCCTGGTCATCCTATTCTAGGCTGGACAGGTTTTGGTTATGTGCTTGTGATTGATGATCTGCCCCCACAACGGCCCACGAATTCGCAGGAAGAGGACACAGCCACCCTTCTGCAGAGGTATGCTCAGGTGGACGAGCATAAAGAGGGCTATGTGGAACGGGATGACAGTTTGCACATACGTTTTGCAGAGACCAGTCAGACCTTGGACAGATTTGACACACACTTCACTTTACCTGCATTTGATTTAGAGGATGCTTTACAGGATCATGCACACTGGCTTCCGCAGTGTTTGCCATGGATTCGTGCTGATTGGTATGCATATGACCAGCCAATTGACCACATTTCTGTCTACTATGATGGTTCATTTCTGACGAAAGAAGGGACGGCAGGAGCTGCAGCGGCGGCATTTGTTCTGCACAAACGACGTTGGTTTTTTGCGGGCGCAGTTTCTGCCCATCTCCCATCACCGGAATTTGGATCTTACACGGCAGAAGTACGAGCGGCATTGCTTGCCACAAAACAGGCCTACGACCTTGTGAAAATTGCGGTCGATGTGTTTGGATGCAAGCCAAGTGTGACTTTCCATTTTGATTCTCTTTCGGTTGGCAAGCAAGCTGAGGGCCTTTGGCAAGCAAAGAAGGACAAGGTATCTTGCCATGCTATACGTAGCATCTTGCGAATCATGCAGACCAGATGGGAAGTGCAATGTGATCATTCGTTTGTCCCAGGTCATAGTGGCGACCCAGGTAATGAGCTTGTTGACACGATTGCGTTGTGTGCAGCTCAAGGGTTTCCCCTGCAGAATTGGGATACTATGTTGGGTTTGCTGACGAACTGGACCTTTGTACAAGCCTTGGCCTGGGGATGGATCTTCCAGCATCCATCATTCTCGGGATGTTGGTCTGAGAACACATTATGTTTGCCGATGAAACCAACGACTACGCCTTCCCCATGTGTTGTTGGCACCACTGGGACATCAGCTCGATGTGAAAAGAATGATGCTGCAGCCATTAAGCTTGACCTGCTCACTTGCAATGTGCTTACACTCACCAAAGGCACTTGTAAGATAGGGGAAGATCAATCCAATCCTCTAGGTCCTACCAGACTGCAGTCCATCACTACACAACTGTCTCAAGCCAATGTTACGATTTTTGCTTTGCAAGAAACACGGCTTAGGACCACAGTGCGGCTACAAAGTTCAGACTATTTTCTCTGGCATGCGCCAGCCAATGACAAAGGCCAGTTTGGCATACTCATTGGTTTTGCCAAACAACAACCATTCGCATTCCAACAGGATGGGACGCCTCATCCACAAGGCTGGTTTAGTGAAAAAGACTTTGCTGTCATTGCCGCTGATCCGCGCTTTCTCATTATCAAGTTGCAAACAAATTTCTTTCGATGCATTGTGCTTGCGGTCCATGCACCACATAGTGGAGCGGAATCTGATAGCATTGAAATGTTTTGGCAGCGGATTGAACAGAGCATCCCAGGGAAGTATGACCGCTGGCCGAAAGTACTCCTGGCTGATGCCAATTGTAGATTTGGAGACTGCCCGAACCAACACATTGGTGACCATGATGCTGAGACCTCTACGGTCAAGAGCGAGGAATTTTGTCAATTTGTGGCTACGCATGACCTCTTCATTCCGGCATCCTTCGCAACATGTCATAATGGGCCGTCTGGCACCTGGTGCCATCCTAATGGCACTTGGACCAGGAATGACATTATAGGAGTCGCTATGACTTGGCCATTGATTTCATGCAGATCGTGGATCGACACCCAAATTGATGTCTCACTCCAGAAAGATGATCACAGACCAGCGCGTGTTTTCCTGGTCTGTCAGGTGCGATGGATGACACGCACAAATCACAGAAGTGCACCTGTATACCGCAGGCATTTTGGTTTGGAAAACAGGCACGGGCTTTGTCGTTGTCAAGGGTTATGAGCCCAACCCTACGCCTTTTTTAGGATCATGGAAAGATCGAAATCAGTGCCTGTGGATGACCGAATGGAAAGCAATCCTTTTTGGTCGCAGAAAGTTCAAGATGAATGCAGGTTACAGGCGTCAAGGCCTTCTGCACTACCTGTGGATGGAAGCTGGAATGAAAGACCTGACCATGCCAGAGCTGCAGGATCCGTTCAGCTTCATCAATCGTCAGCAGAATCTACTGGGAAGGGACGTGGAGGTGCAGCTTGTGATGGCTCAGGAACTCCATTTCCTACAGAACATGGATCTGGCGAGATGAGGACTGAAGGGCGGATGCCAGGGTGTGATGGTCCGGTGTTGTCACAAGGCAAAGTCAAATCTGCGGGAAATAGTGCGGAAGAAAGCAGTGATGGCCTTCAGCGCGCCCTCGAAGGCGAGCTTGTGGAGTTTTTGAGATGTCAAAATTCTAAACTCATGCAAGAGTTGGAGTGTCTCAAAGGGCAACTGCAGCATGTGCAAGTGAAAGCCGGTTCTGGGGATGCTTCGTCACCATGGTCTGCTGTGAATGGAACTTCGTTAGAGGGTTCAAGTGGAAATGGAACCTTTCCTACGGAGCGTCATGGTAGGGGTGGAAGTAGAACTCCTAGGCATAGAACACGTGAACGTGCAGTTAGTCCTGGGGCTTGTGAAAAAGGAGGTTTGGTGCGGTTCACACCAAATGGGACCAAAGTGCCTGAGGGTCCTCCGCCAAGGGATGAACCAATGTTGCCTCCAGTCCCACCGTTTCCAACAGTTGCAGGTGAGCCGCTGGTGGAAGGAACAAGTTTTGTCAGCAATTTGTATGATACATGTGAGTCAAAACCGCATGTGAAAAATGGTGACAAGTTATGGAAACCTCAGAGTGGTCAAAACGCTGGGGATGATGTCATGACAGCCAGTGAGGCGAAACAGGTATGGCTAGAGCGGGAGGTCCAGTCTCTCAAAACTGCACTGAATAGGGTTTCAGTTCCTACGGTGTTGCAACAGTCTGGATACTGGAATGCTGGTTTTGATGGAAAAACTGGATTTGCGTCGGAAGTGTCTCATGCAGCAGCCAATCGTTTGTCCGGTGATGAACGAGCTCTACATGAAGGAAGCGGTGAAGGTTCTGCTCAAGTTCGGGCTCAGCAGTTGTTTGGAGATCTACCTGGACTTGATCGGGCTCAGCATGTGCATGGCGGACATCATGGAGGTGATCGGGCTCAGCATGTGCATGGCGGACATCATGGAGGTGATCGGGCTCAGCATGTGCATGGCGGACTTCCTGGAGGTGATCGGGCTCAGCAGGTGCTTGGTGGTCTTCCTGGAGGTGATCGGGCTCAGCAGGTGCTTGGTGGACTTCATGGTGGAGATCGGGCTATGCATGGCGATCCTCTTCAACGTGGGCGAGCTCTACATGGTGGTGATGCAGTTCTTCCTGGACTTCAAGATCCTCTACAACATGGTCGAGCTCTACGTGGCGATGATGCTGGTCTTCCTGGACTTCAAGAACCTCACCAACATGGTCTTCTTCATGGAGCACAAGGGCATGGAACTATGGGTGTCGCACCAATGCCGGCATCCTGGGAAGCTTCTGGAGGAGGTGGCGGTGGAAAAGCCGAACTACCTGTGTTGCCGAATGGTGCATCGCCTCTGGAGTTTGGAGATTGGCTGTGTCTTTGTGGGCCAATCATGAAAGACCTGTCACATGTCGCTGGAAGATGGTGGGATGCAACAGTACGCCAAGCGTACGCCTTCTACATGGAATGGAAGGGACTATCTCCTCTTCAGCGAGTTCAACTGTGTCCTCGTCTCCCTGATGAGCTGATGGCAGGTGGCTACATCAGAACGGAGCAGAGGGGCGTCACTTTGTTGCTCAAGGCGGTAAGCGAAGAGCAGCAGAAGGAGTTGGTGGTGGATCGAGATTTGACCAGTACGGCAATTTTGTTCCGCCTCTATGTGCGGCATCAACCAGGAGGACCTGGTGAAAAGGCAATCCTCTTGGGGCAATTGACCTCACTGCAAAAGGCATCTTCGATGCAGGAATTGGCTTCTTCTTTGAGAACATGGCGACGATACTTTGCAAGGGCTAGGGAGGTGGATGCAAACTTGCCTGATAGAGTGCTGCTGATAAAAGCACTTGAAGCTGCGGTCGTCCAGATCGCCAAGGAAGATGCCCAAGCAGCGTTCAGGCTTTCCACAAGTCGACAACAACTTGCACTGGATCAACGTCCTACGGAGCAGTCAATTTGGAGCTTTAGTCAGTGTTTGTTGGCTGAGGCAGAAACTTTGAGCTTGCTGAAGTCCTCTTCTACAACGTCTACAAGTGCGAGCACACCGGTGAGACTCAAGCAAATGGATGCCGAAGCATCAAACTCACCTCAAAAGCCTGGCACTCCTGGAAACTATGGCAACAAGTCCGGCAAGGGCAACTCAACTCCTATGTCGGAGCAACCATGCAAGTTTTTCAAGAGTGATGGTGGATGCAAGGCTGGAAAAAACTGCAAGTGGTCTCACAGTTGGGACAACATAGAGGACAAAGGCAGTCGATGCTGGATATGCGGCTCCAAGGAACACAGAAGGTCAGAATGCCGCGTCAAAGGCTCTGGAAACAAACCTTCGTCCAATGACTCTGGTTTGGGGGGAGGACGTGGAAATCAAAATGCAGCTGCAGCAAACAACAAAGCGGCTGTCAAGCAAGCTTCAGTTGGAAAAGGTCAAGATGGTGGAGTTGCAAGCTCAACAACTGATCAAACTTCCTCCAGTACAAGCGCTGATGGTCCAGGACTGGGTGCTGAGAGTAACTCCCTTGGGACTTCATCTAGTGCAACCTCGGAGGTGGATAAGGGGGGAGCTCCAGCTGCCACTCCTGCGACCACTGAACTGTTGGCAGAAGCCACTCAGTTGCTGAAGTCTCTGCGTATGCCAAACCTGAAAGTGATGCGACTGTCAAATCTGCAACCTCATGCTCAAATGGTGTTGCTGGACTCTGGTGCAACACATGGCCTACGTCCTGCAGCTTCAGAAGAAGAATGGCAGTCTGGCACAAGAACTCAGGTGATGTTGGCTGATGGTGTCACAGAAAGCCTCCGTTTGAAGCCTGGCACCAAAGTTTTGCTTTCAGATCCTCTCCTTCGGCCTGAAAATACCTCTTGGATCGTTCCAATGGGATGCTTGAACGAGCTCAACTACAAGTTGGTGTGGAAAGACCACATGTGCCATCTCTACACAAAAGCTGGAGACAAGGTCGATGTGGAACTTCACAATGGATGTCCCTACGTTGCTCATGAATTTGGAGCAAAGCTGCTGACGGTGTTGGAACAGCATCAAATTCAACAAGAGCTGAAAAAGATGACCTTGAAGTCTATCTTGACAAGAGGGGCTGCCGGTCTTGGCAACAACATGAGCATTGAAATGGCGATGCTTGTCAAGCTCAAGGAGGTCATGCCGACTTTGCCTGAAGATTTGGCGTTGAAACTGGTCCCAGATCTCTCAGTGCTCACGGACCCAAACATCGGCTTGAACCTTCCATGGAATCGCAGAAAGCGAAAAAGACTCATGATGGCAAAGAATGTGATCATCCACATGTACAGTGGACCTGATGCTTCTTACTGGGAGCGGCGTTTGTCAAATGAGCACACTGAGGTGCTGTGCGTGGACTTGGAAGCCTCAACACCTTCAAATGCTTTGGATGAAACAACCTTTGCGTTTTTGCTTTCCTTGTGCGCCAGCAAACGTGTCAAAGCTCTACTTGGTGGTCCTCCATGCAGAACAACAAGTGCTCTCAGGTTTCAAAAAGATGATGGTCCACCAATTCTTCGAACAGAAGATCACCCATACGGTTTGCCATCTTTGACTCCACAACAAGCTGAATTGGTCACCAATGACTCAATTCTGTGGCTCCGGTTGATGCTGATGTACATCCTCTGCGAAGAAGTGCGTCCAAAAGAACAAGCTCAAACTGCATTTCTTTGTGAACAACCCCAAGACCCAGCGGAATACCGCAAGAAGGAGGATGTGGATGAGCACCAGTACTTTTCAATGTGGAGAACTCAGGAATGGAAAAGCTTCCAAGAAGCCTACAACGCAAAGCTGATCTCCTTTGATCAAGGGCCTTTTGGACACCCAAAACGAAAGCCAACCACTTTGGCCTTGATCAACATGAATGAGATGATGCAGCTACAAGATGTGCGAGGTCGTGGAGCTGAACCTGAAGTTGCTCCGCTACCACAACTCAGCGTGAAAGAAAGATGTGCTATGTCAAAAACTTGGGCGGCTTGGGCACCTGGTTTGAAGGCTGCAGTTGCTGAAGCAATCAGCAGATGGATTCGCCGTGAAGCGCCTCCACGTGAAGGACCTGAAGATCCTACTGGCGTTGTTTATGCCGATGACGATGTCCGACCTGTTGGTGTCGCTGCAATTGGAAATGTTGCCCTTCAACAATGGAAGCAACACTACATGCAGGACCACATGCCGGCCCGTCGAGATTGCAGCCACTGTGTACGTTCTCAAGGTCGCAGTCGAGCACATCGCCGAGTTTGTCATCCTGAAAGCTTCACTTTGAGCTTGGACATGTCCGGTCGGATGACTGGTGGCAAGGACCAGACTCCTGGAACCAACAAATACTTCTTGGTTGGAGTTTACACATACCCCGTCAACAAAAAGGGGAAACCACTCTTGTTGCGTCCTGACCAAGATGAAGAGGAAGATCACCCATTGCCTGGCCTTGATGACCCCGAGCTCTCTGGTGATCCTCAAGAACAACAACCTGGAGATGGTCAACCACCTCAACGACATGTTGAACGAGATCAACAACAAGCGGGCCATGAAGCTCAACATGAACAAGGTCTTCCTGCAGGAGTTGCACAAGATGAACCTGATCCTCTCCAAGAAGAATCGGTTCCTGACCTTGTGGAAGATGAAGAGGTGAAGTCAGCCTATGGAATGCACGACACTTGGATGCGCCTCATCAATGAGTCCAAGGACGTCACTGTGCGCAACCTCACTTTTGCGGAGCCCATTGCAGATCGAAATGTGCACAACGTGCTGCCGGCGATCGCCAAGATCTATGCTCGTTTGCGCTCTTTGGGTTGCCCTGTGTACCGAATGCACAGTGACCGTGCACGTGAATTTTTGGCTAGACCTGTCCATCAATGGTGTCTTGACCGTGGAATAGTTCAAACTATGACACCAGGCAGTGCTTTCAAAACAAACGGCAGAGCTGAAAACGAAGTTGGGATGATCAAAAAAGGTGTCCGCACTTTGATCTCTGCTGGAGCATGCCCTTTGGACAGATGGCCTCTTGCGGTGCGACATGTTGGAGAAAGACGTCTCCGCAATCAACTCAACCAAGCAGGCTGGCCAGTTGGAAAACTTTTGAGGTTTGGCTCAAAAGCCTATGCCCTCAAGAAAAGCTGGCAAGATCGCTACGCTCAATGGCGTGATTGCCGAGAAGAAGTTGTGGTGTGGGGCCCCGCTGAAGGATCTTCTATAACCACAACAACATACTATGTCAAAGCAATTGCAACGGAAAGGTGCTTCTACACTGATGATGTGGTGATTCCTGCGGATGATGGCATGAATGCAGCTGTCGATGCTGGTCCCGGGGGAGAAGTTTTGCCATATCTCCCTGAACGTGATGAAAGACAAGCTCAACCGCTTTTTTGTGATGGTGTGCCAGCACGAAGATTGAGATCAAAGACAGCTCCGCCTCCAGCAATTGCCACTATGTCAATGTTGCACATTGAGGGGGAGAAGCGCATCCTTGCAAAGTTTGGCAGTGTGTTTGAGTTTGCGCTGCCGCCTGACAATGAAGTTGCCTCTGAAGGTTCATGGACTTTGGAAACAACGCTTTCTCCAGCACAACAACATCCACCTCAAGAACAACAAGAGGTTCATGATGCTCCGCTACCAGGGCATGATGATGAAAAGGATGGTGATGGGGGGCAAACAGAAACTGATGAAGTTCATGATCAAAAGGAGGAGGAAAGTGATGTGGAGGAGGATTTGGGGGAGGCGCCTAACAGCAGAGACGGTGGCTCAAGCTCTGCGGCCTCAAATGTATCAAGAAATGTTCTGGTTAGAATGTCAAAGATACAAGCCCTCCAAACCATCCACGACAATGTCTCGGACTATATAGCCGAGGAGATCTGCAAGCTTGATGGCACCTTCCCTGAACAAATGTGGTGTCTTCCTGAGCTCAACAAAGCTCTGGTCAAAAAGGTTGAAGTTGAAGAACAAATTCAACTGCTTGCGGATGAAGATCGAGCTGAAGAACAACAACAGTTGACCCATGAGTTTTTGGTCACCAAAACGGTCAGCAACAAAGAGGTTCGTGAAAACCTTGCGGACTGGACTGAATCCATCAAGGCCGAGTACGAGCAGCTTGTCGTCAACAAAAAGGCTGTCAAACCAATGACAAGAACGGAACTCCAAAAAATGGCTGAAGTGCAGAACAAAACTTTGGAGATCCTTCCAGCAAAAATGGTTCACACTAGAAAAGCTGGATCAGGAGCATACCGTTCAAGAGCAGTGGTGTGTGGAAACTACCAGACACCGAATGACGACAACACGTACGCTGGAGGTGCTGATGCAACACAGATCCGAACAATGCTAAGGATCAGTGCTCAGTACAATGGAAAGCTGCTTCAACTGACATACGAACGGCGTTCCTCAATGCGCCGAGAAGAGACTCCAGACTCATAGCTATGGAAGTGCCGCATGTGTACAAAATGTTGGGCCTGGCTGGACCTGATGAAGTTTGGCTCATCATGCTTGCAATGTACGGACTCCAGGCTTCACCAAGGGACTGGTGTCTTCACCGAGATGCAGTTTTGCCAACGCTGAAATGGACAAGGCAAGGTCCAAATGGGTTGCTGACTGGAAGTTTTGAGAAAACAAAAGATGAGAATGTTTGGCGCTTGGAAGAACTGGATGAATCAGGCTACATCCACTGGAATGGCCTCATGTCGGTGTATGTGGACGACATCTTGGTCACTGGTGAAGAGTTTGCAGTTCATGGCGCTCTACAAGCTCTCTCTGGAGTTTGGACAACCTCTTCTGTGGAATGGGCTGGTGTTGACAAGCCTCTCAAGTACTGCGGTTTTGAGATTTCTGAAGATGCCAAAGGCGATGGTTTTCATGTCAACCAGCACATGTACGAGCAGGAGATGTTGCAACGTTGGAATGTTGATGAAGGAGTTGAATATCCTCACTACAAAGTTGCTGAGGATCAAGAAGTTGAAGAAAGCCCTGACCCAAATGATGTCAGGACAGCTCAAGCTATGGCTGGTTCTTTGCTGTGGTTGAGTTCCCGAACACGACCTGACCTTGCTCATGGAGTTGCAACAATGAGCAGGCTTATGACAAAGGCTCCTGTCAAAGCCATCCAGATCGGCACAACGTTGATGAAATACGTCAAGGGAAACCCTGGCGTTGGTTTGAGGTACACAACACATGTTCCTGATGACTGGGGTGCCCATGGCCAGCTGAAGGTGAAAAGAAGTGACCTGCTCCTGGAGATCTTCTGCGATATCGCCTACTCTGCAGGTTCTGGCCACAGAAGCGTCCAGGGGATTGTTGTTTGCCTTGGTGGTCAGCCGATCTGTTGGCAAACAACCCAACAACCGTTTGTCACCCACAGTACGGCTGAAGCTGAGCTGGTTAGCTACTGTGAAGGCCTGATCGCTGGCAAAGCAGCTGAAGCTCTGGTGATGGAGCTCACAGGTGTTACAGCTGTGATGAAAGTCATCTATGGTGACAACATTGCCGCGATTGGACTGGCCAATGGAACTACAGCTTCTTCATGGCGAACAAGACACTTGCGCATCAGATCAAGTCTTTTGAAACAAGCGCTGGATGAAACTGATGCAGCTGGGGGCCAATGGAAGCTGATCCATGCGCGTGGCCTTGACTTAGTTGCTGATGGTTTTACAAAGCCTCTTTTTGGAGCTGCCTTTCAACGTTTTGTGGAAAACCTGGGCATGAATGCGCCGTTTTTGAGGCCCGAAGACCCTGAAATACGTGCTGCTCAAGTGCGAAGCCATGGCAGCAGAGAACGTGTTCATGCTGGTGCAGCTTCTGCAATGAGCTTTTTGGTGGGGCAGACTCTTTTGGCCGAAGCCGAAGCTTTGGAAATCAAGGGAGAACAAGATGAAGCGGATCCACTTTGGATTGCTGCGGTGGTTTTGATGATCCTGGGGGCAATCTATGCTGGCAAGCTAGCAGTTCAAGCTGGTCAATGCTGCATGCGTCGATTGCAAGTGTGGTTGTCAGCGCCGTCAACGCCGTCTGGTGAGATGAAAGCTTCTTCAACATGCTCCACTACCAAAAAGGATGATGAGAATGATGATGAAAGAAGATCTGGGTTGAGGTGGCGAACGAGCACTTCAAGCAGTTCTGGCCCTGTGCAGGCCCCTTCAGCAGGATCTTCGAATAGCGTTGGCCCTGTGCAGGCCCTTTCAGCTGGATCTTCAAGTGCTGGCCCTGTGCAGGCCCCCATTGCTATGTCCTTGTGTGTGTCTGGCCCTGTGCAGGCCTCAAGTTCAATGTCTACAGTCCCCATAACTGCCGAGAGTGCTGGCCCTGAGCAGGCCCATTTTGCTGGATCTGGTGTTGGCCCTGTGCAGGCCTGGCGATCTACGAATGTGGCTGCAGGAGCATCTTCGAGCAGTGCTGGCCCTGTGCAGGCCTCTTCTTCAAGCAGCGCTGATCTTGGCCCTGCGCAGGCCTTGCGATCTACAAATGCGGCTGCTGGCGGATCTATGAGTTTTGGCCCTGTGCAGGCCTCTGCGGCTTCTTCTGGCCCTGTGCAGGCCTCTTCGTCGAGCGGCGCTGAACATTTTGCTGATGCTTCCGGCCTTGAGCAGGCCTTGGCTGCCGTTGCGCGGATCTCCGAGAGCGCTGCGGCTGGTGGTGGCATTGAGCATGCGCTGAAGCAGCGTGCTGGCGAAGTGAGCGAGGCACTTTTGGGTGGTGGAAGGTCTGAAATGACTTTACATAACCCATGGAACCTTTTTCAACATGAACATAGAGGCAAGGGATGGTCGCCTGCAAAAATGTCGGCGATGTATAAAAAATGGAAAGGTCATCCCGGAAAGGATAAAATGCCTTGAGCCTACAATTTTTAGGTCCTTTAATTTTGTCTTGAAATTCAAATTTCAAATTCAATTCGTTTTCGGCAGGGAGCCGATCTGTCCTTCGAATCGTGCGAATCACGATTGGGGGAGTCTGTCAGGTGCGATGGATGACACGCACAAATCACAGAAGTGCACCTGTATACCGCAGGCATTTTGGTTTGGAAAACAGGCACGGGCTTTGTCGTTGTCAAGCCTGGAATGGCATGCAGAAGCCAAGCAGACGCAGACTAGACAGAGAACGCCCAAATGTCCGCCTCAATTTTGCCCTGATGCTCTCTCCGCCCTTAAGACTCAAATTGAGACGAATGGATGGCTTGAGGTCGATGTGCACACGCACTTCTATGCTCTGCAAAGTGGCCTTGCCACGTGCACGCGGCGAGACATGCATGGCCTACAGAACAAACCACGCAAAACGACCATGTCTGATGATACTTGGTTGTTAGTCTGCACGAAACGCAAATGGAGACAGAACGTAGCGGAGTGCCAGACCCTGCAAAAACGCACTCTCTTGCGAGCCATTTTGGCAACCTGGAAACACGCATGTCTCCGTCAAGAAGATGTAATTAACCAGTCACCAAAGTGCTTTCATGGAGTTTGATCAAATTTTGACTCAGCTCGACGTGGATGTAGCTACTGCGTTGCATCAATTTCGTAGTTACGGAGCAATGGTTACGAAAGCTTTGCGACAAGATGACATACGATTTTATGATGCTCTTGCCCAAGAAAGCTCCCAATGGTTGGAACCCCAGCATGCCCGCGAGTTGTGGAAGACCTTGAGACGCAACTTGCCCAAGTTCCGCCAGCGCAGAATGGGATTTGACCCCCTTAAGATTGATGCATTGGATGATCAGTGGATGCCGCACTTTTGCCAGCTTGAAGTTGGGAAATCCACTACCCCCATGCAGCTGCTTGAAGACTGCCACCAGCGACAAATCCAAGCTCCAATACGTCAACAAAGCTTTGACATGACAGATCTTCCCACGATAAGCCAGCTTGAAGATGTCATACGCCAGACACCGGCTGGAAAAGCCACTGGATATGTTTCATTGCCTTCGCAGCTTTTCCAACAGAATCCATGTGACTTGGCTGACATCTTTTTCCCGCTGTTGCTCAAAATGTATGTTTGGCAGCATGAGCCCATTGCTGGAAAAGGGGGCCAATTAGCTGTCATTCACAAGAAAGGTAGCCCATTTGCGGCGCAGAACTACCGTGGCATCATGTTACTCCCAACCTTCACCAAACGTGTGCATGCTTTGCTGCGCATGCAGATCATGCACTTGTTGCACCGCCAGCGACCGCCTGGCCAGCTGGGTGGATTTGCGCACCAGCAAGTGATGTATGGGTCTCAAACCCTGCAAGCCTTCGGACGCATCATGGACGGCCAGAATATCACGTCAGGAATACTTTTCCTGGATCTTACAACTGCTTTTCACAGGCTTGTCAGAGAGTGGACATCAGGGATCAACCTTGAGGCTGACCTGGAAGAAGTACTAGCCGCCATGGATGCTGAGGGCCTACCTGTGGAGGACATGTGTGACAAACTGCACCTGCCATGTTTGCTGGAACGTTTGGGTGCACCGGCCTTCCTTGTCCAACTGATCAAAGATGTGCACACAAACACATGGATGGCTGTCGGCGCTTCACAAGCCTTGGCCACAACCAAGCGCGGCACTCGACCAGGGAGCCCGCTTGCGGATTGCATTTTCCATGTATTGATGTCGGATATCCTGCATCATTTACAGGTCTGGATCGACTCCCAGGAAGCATTCAATGATATCCTGCAGGAGTTAGACATTACTGGCAGCAGTTTTGTCGCATGGGCAGACGACCTTGCAATCCCCTGGGCAACCAGGAATGCAGATGAGATGCCAGACGCCCTCAGGAATGTGTTGAAATTTGTTTTGCAACTTTTCCATCGCTATGGATTTCAGCTGAACATGGAGAAAGGCAAGACGAGCGCTGTTGTTTCCTTTCGAGGGACAGGAGCCCCATTGCTCCGTCAGCATTTTCAACTGGGTCCACGGCCAGGGGATGAGATACCGATTGGTGACCAAACATTCTTTTTGCACTATGTGCCTTCTTACAAACATTTGGGCACAATTTTCGCTGCCAATCACAGGATGGATTTGGAAATTCGCAGCCGTATTGGTCAAGCACAGGCTGCGTTCAACCAGATCTCCAAACCCATCTTGACCAACAGGTATTTACCTGAGCGAACACGTGTGCAATTGTTTCGGGCGCTGATCGAGACTAAGCTTTTCTTTGGTCTTGGGGCCTGGATTACGCCTACACATCGACAGATGGCCAAAATCAAAGCTGTACTGCTGAGGATGCTACAAAAAGTGCTGCGGCTTTCGAAAGATGCCATTCTTTCGACGACAGCTGCTGAAGTGTTCCAACGTACACACCAGCCGGATCCAAGGGTGCGACTAGCCACTGATCGATTGCTCTTTGCGCAAAGATTGTGGGAGCATGGACCAGCAGATCTCCAACATTTGCTGCACAGAGAACAAGCGCTTTGTCAGACGTCCTGGATGGCTGGATTACAGGCTGACTTGGAATGGTTGCGCAGCCTGGAGCCTGACGCACAAACACCTGTTGACCCCAGTGATTTGACTGCTCTCTTTGACTACTGGCAGAGTGGTACACCAGAGTGGCAGAAGCGGGTTAAAGGTGCTTTCAGACGTTTCCAGAAACAAGAGCATATGATGCAGAAGATGCACAAGTTTCATGGACAGATCATGAAAACGTTGCACACTTGCGCTACATTTCAAGATTTGCTGCCAGATCAGCACGAGCAGGAGAATGATCACAGATGCTTTTGTGGTAGGTGTTTCACGACCCCGCAGGGATTAGCCACCCACAAACGCAAAGCACATCAAATCGGTGCAATTGAAAAACATCTCATTGACGGGCCAACGTGTCCATCGTGCCTGAAGTTCTTTTGGAGTAGACAGCGGCTTTATCAACACCTGTCATATATTCCAAGGCGAACGAAAGTCAATCGATGTTTCCAAGACCTGCAAAAGCGAGGCTTTCATGTCCTTGAAGAGCTGATGCCGGTGCGTCCTATGCAACCCAGGGGGCTTCATCGAACTGAAGCTTTGCAAGCTCTAGGCCCCCACATGCAACCCAAGGATAGCCGCAGCAATGAGTTGCTTTTAACATGCCAACGACTTGAAAAGATTGAGAACACCATCTTCTGCATTCAAACCCCAGAAGATGCAGAAGAGCAGAAATGTGCATATTGGCAGTGCCTTACTGCCACAACTGAGGGATGGTTTCAGAGATTTTGTGACTCTGGGTTTGATGCGGCCACGATCACACAGCTTCCTGACGCGTGGCTGGATGTGGCGGCTACAGCTGATCCCAACTACCCAGAGTGGTTGGAGAGTGTGTATATTGGCTGGGGAGAAAGATGTTTGGAAGACGTCATCGCTCGCTTTGAGGATGGCGAAGCTGAATCTCTTGTGGACACTGCCTTTGCAGACTTCATCTATGATTTCCCTAGGATGCAGGCACTCTCTGAAGCCGCCTTTCTGAGACAAAAGATTGACCGCTTAGCTAGTGAGCGAGGTACCCATTTCCCTCATCGGCAGCCGCGGTATGGCACCGCTAATGCCAAGGAAAGAATGCAGACGGCATTACATATTCCTTCACTTTTTTCGCAGCAAGAGGAGTGGATGGAGAAAATACGTGGCATCAAGTTTGACACCATCCCTGACTGTACGAGCATACCGCGGGGTGTTGAAGCACGTACCCAACTCCCAATCTTCCTTGTCGTGCATTTGTTCAGTGGAAGGAGGCGGGCCACAGACAGACATGCCAAGCTTGAAGAGTTCGCATTGGGCAAGGGTTACAGAGTGCAAGTGTTGTCGCTCGACACTGCTGTTTCCATTTTCTATGGCAATCTGCAGGCAAGCCAACACACTTGGAAGTGCCTTACCACCTTGTATAAGGCTGGCAGAGTCTCTGCGACCATTCTGGGTTCCCCGTGTGAAACCTTTTCAGCGGCGCGACACCATCAACCTGATGATGCGACCGAGAAGTGGCCCAGACCACTTCGGAGCGCATTGCGTTTCTTTGGACTGGATGGACTCACCACCAAAGAATTGAGGCAAGCAGAACAAGGAGCGGAATTTTTCCTACAGGGGATTCTCGTTGCCGCTTGGACCCTCCAGCATGGAGGTGTTTACATCAGTGAACACCCGTGGAAGCCGGAGGACCCTGCCAAAGTGAGTATATGGACTTCCCCTTGGGTGCAGATGATCCTCCAGCTCCCGAATGTGAAGCTGCATCGTGTTTGCCAATGGAGATGGGGCGCCCACGCTGTTAAGCCCACCGGAATCCTAGCTGTTAACTGCCCATCTTTCGCACAATCAGTTTATCGACGACAGCTGCCAGATGCTGTCAAACCTCACCATGTTGCAATTGGACGAGACAAGAGCACAGGAATTCTCCGCACTGCGGTGCTCAAAGAGTACCCACCAGCTTTTTCGGCGGCACTAGCTGGAGCAGTAGCTGATCGTTTCCATGTAGCCACTTGTCAGGGTGATCTGACACTTAGTCCTTTGCAAGAGCCGGAAATCGAAGCCTGGGTACAGGAGGCCCTTCAGGCCTGCGCACATATCCGTACAGAAGCGCACTGGCTGCCCGATTTCCAAGGCTGATCACTTTTGTATCCCAATTAATCTCGTTCGCAAGGCGGAACGATGCACGGCAGCAAGGTACTGACCTTTTGCGCAATGTGAAAGTGAAAGTGAAAAGAGAGGGAGTGAGTAGTTATATATATATATATAATATACATACATATACATAATAAAATATATGTGTGTGTGTCGTCATAATAAGTCGTGGGGCCAAGATTATTCTTGATATTCTTTGGCATTGCCAGCAAAAGTCTCAAATGTCGTCTGCTTAGGTGCAGTTCACGCCCCAGCCCACTCTTGCCAAAGCCGTACACTGCAGGCACAAACAATTTCTTTTACATTCTTTATATTCTTTTACTTATATACTAAATCTGGAACCATCTAGTGGCCAACCCCACTGCTGGGCACATGGAAATAGCCGGAAAGCTGGGTCTTTGGATAGCTAAATCTAGCTGTTTCAAGCACCCAGCTGCCATGAAAACTCGAAGCAGTTCGATTTCCTGTGCGGACCAGGCAGGGTTAAACAACTCTATACAGCATAGACCGGTGGCTGTCCCAGTGCCAGCGCTTGAAACTCGCCAACGAATGGGTCTGTCCGTAGATGAAAAACAGCGGCAGGAGCCATGATTTTTGACTTGTGAGGTTTTGCCCCTTCCAAAACTGATCGTTTTGATGGATGGTGGTGGGTTCTCATGGTTTTTTGGGGGACATTCCCAGATGTTGCTGTGAGCCAGCCCGGAGACTTGCACTGCAACAGCAGTCTTCAGAAACTTCGGGTCAAACCTGACGGAGCTAGCGGTCCCCCGGATAGTCAGCATCACAGTGATGAACTCCTCCTCAAATATTTACTCAAATATTTCGAAGGTAAACCATTAAACCTGCAAAACCAATCCACAAGTGATTTGCCTGGGAATTCATGGAGATTCTGGGGGCCCAGTTGCCCAGATTTCGCAAGTAGCAGGTTCACAACCTGCAGCAAGGCCTTTGAAAATGGCGTCCTTGAACTCCGGTGCCACCGCTTTGCCATCGACATAAATGGCCAACCTCAGTCGCCGACCACTTCAACACTCGAAACTGTGTAACAAAATCAGCAGGGAAACCGGAAAATCGTTGAAAAACACATGGATAGGTGGTCCATGATGGTCCATGTATGTCCATGTCATTTTCGATTGTTCAATTATCTCCAGGCCTCATGTGGATTCGCAATGTCAAAAGGCAGTCCTACAAGTCGGGTCTCAGCAGTTCTTGCCACGATCGAAACTCAGATCCCGAAAGGCCTCATGATGAGATGTAGTTTGATGATCTCATGACTGGTGGGCCCAACTCATCGCAAAAATATTCATCCCTTTGGATTGTCTGCCCACGGCTTCTCCTGGTCATATACTGTAAATCCCAACTGTTGCCGCATCACTTGTGTTACGCCGCTGGCCTACCTCATTCTCCCCCGCTTCTCAGAATCATCCCGATCTCTCAGCAAGTGGCAGCGCTTGTACCAGGGCCTTGCTCTTCACATCAGCAGCCTCGTTTCGTACAACACATGTGGATACATTTGGAGCATCTACCTCGTTGGTCGAACTCGGGAGATAGATAGTTTAACTGCTTGGGGTGGAGTATAAATGGTTATATACAGTATATAGACACATATTAGTGAGTGCGTGTGCCCTCTGGAAATCAAACATAGCAATGGAAAATCCCCTACAAATAGGTGGTTTAATGAGAAAATCAACCATAAATGTAAAATGTCCATTGCCATGTTTGATTGCTATAGTATGTGTGCATGTGTATATATATATATGTATTGTTATATGATATATGTATATATATATATGTACATTGTTATATAGGTATATATATATATATTGTTATGTTTATATATATATAAATATTGTTAAATATATATATTTATTTATTTATTTATTGTTAAATATTTATTGCTAAATATTTATTGTTATATATATATATTGTTATATATATAACAATATATATATATTTATTTATTTATTGTTATTTATATATATATATTTATACATGTATATATATATCGTTATATGTATATACATACGTACATGTGTGTGTATGTATGTAATGTAATGTAATGTGATGTAATGTAATGCAAATGTAAATGTAATGTAATGTAATGTATGTAATGTGTGTAATGTGTGTAATGCGTGTAATGTGTGTAAAATG